ATTAACTCAATAGATGAAAGATGCTGTTTGGACAACAAACCAATGCCAGGCATGTTTTTAACTCAGCACAAACATTCCGCATGCCATATACTTTTCGAATACTTGCTGCTATCAGTGATGCTACATGGATATAAATTTAGCTAAAACCATCTGTAACTTACTCCAGAGAGAAGTTGGGCATGTTCTCCAAACCAGTGTCGGCATGTCCAACAGGTTCTACACGACTGTTGTCTTCTTCTGTCCCATCCTCATCCTAGACAGCAGAACACAAACAGAAGTACACTCTGCGTTACATTTATTTCTATAATGTGAAAGAAAACTGGATAAAAGTGGAGTCTACTGGGCATTATGATCATGTCATAATTAGGACTTTCCTCTAGAGAAGATGGCCTTTGATGATAAGATGGGTATGTGTACATGAAAAGTTGCCTTTTAAAGCAATAGTCTCCTGAGTTAGCATATCCCAGGAGGTGAACAAAACACCACTGTGATAAGAAAAGAAAACATAACTTCTATTTATTGTGAACTTTATCATTTTACTTCACTTTTTGGTATATGTTTTAGGAAGTAATTATATGTTATTACAATGTTATATTAATAAATAAATGTACATGACCCTGAGGATGCATGTTTAAAATTTTTTCTACGCAGTTGAGACCATTATAAACTTTAATGACTACCAAAATATTCAAAGTCATATTTGTCAGTTCCTCAGTTCCGCTAACACAGCTTGTCAAAGTGAGTCTGCAGTAAGGGCAATCCTTGACTCAAATCGTTCATCCTATGAAATTTCACGTAAAATTACCCTGATCAAATCAACTATTTAGTTATCCATAAATGCATTAAGATCTTAGCTGTGCTTCTAAAGAACCACTTCTGTTTACTTTTATTAATGAAGAGCCAAGCAGAGGCAAAGGCACACACAGCAACATAATCAACACCCACCTTTGTATCCTTTCTCTTATAAAGGCAACATTTTATAAAAATTATGTTCCAACATCTTGTAGGAATTGGGGCTGGGGAAGTATGCTGGTAATCCAAAAGGTGTCATGAGGAATAAATGTGATGGTTCATAATAATAGATGAAATGTCACCCAAGACTATGCCTTACTTTATAATCTTGGTCATTGTCTTTTCATTAAGGAGTTCACTAATAGTTAAGATGGCTTCTTGGGTTACTTGAATAATAATAGACATGCCTGACTGATATCAATGGTCTTATTAACCAAATTAGAATATTTAGAAAAGACTCAGAATCTCCAAAAGCAGTGGCCTTGAGGCTCATGGTGGTTTCACCTTGGAGCCACAGCGTCAGACACCCAGTAGGTACTCTGTAAATATTTTGCTAATGAAAACAAAATCATCCCTAGGGATCTCTAGGGTAGTAAGTTTCCAAATACAACTAAATGAAATTTACTTAACCTATTTCTTAGAAGATTATATATATAACTTGTATATATATATATATATATACATATAATTTGTTAGGTTTATCCTTTCTACTACATAAATTAGATAAGTGATTTCATATGTTAATTCATTAAACCACCTATATGAGAGTCCACCATTAGACAAAAATTTTATATTTTTAATCATGTATTTGAACAACTCACAGTAGAAACGTATAGGCTGTCAACAAAGACATCAATCAACAAAATGATAAGCAAAGGTCGTCAGTTCAAGACACAGTGTCAAACAGTATTTTAAATGACTGGAGCCACATGAAGGTAAGGCAGAGCAGCTGGTAACGTCCAGCTGGCATTTCCTCTGAGAATCTACCAAAATAAGGAGCTGAATGCACCGAGGATTCCTAGGAGCTGTAGATGGGCTCCCTAGGTCCTCGATGGCAAGGCACTACACGAAGCCAAGCTACTTCACGATTGATGATGCTGAGTTTCCAGAGGCTCTAATATGTGATTCTTAGTCATCTATCTCTTTTAAGCACCAGCACATAATACATTTCAAAGGTTAAGGAGCATCTTGAACCTGCCTAAGAACCACACTTTGAATGTAAACAGCTCCCAAAATTACGTTTTTCCTTTGGCAATGGGAACAGGGGAGGCGAGCAAAGTGATTGCTTATAAATCAGATGGGGAAAAAAAAGATAATCTTACAAGTTAAAGACATTCTGTTTTAGAATTCATTAATATTTAAGCACCACTGAAATGTAACCACGATGGATAACCAGTTGAAACACTTATGTTGCACAATGAAGCATATAAGCGAAATGCCCCAAACTGCAGTGATAAAACAGTAACTGATAGATAATTTACGCATTCATTGTTCCCACAGTGCCCATCATTAGGCACCCAAGACCTTGCAGAATATTATTTCATGAAGCTTCATATAGTGCTCAGTTCAGATCGCAGCACTCACTGCCCTGAGGTTGAGCTGCAATTGCTGTGGGAACCACAACTTAGAATTTCCCAACTTCTGGGTGTGTAAATATCAGCTCCTATATTGCTTTATTTTTTGTACTTTCAAAAAGCTGTGACTGAACACAGTTACTTTTAGCAAGAGTTATACACTGAATTCCATTCTAACCATAGTCCAATGGTAACCCCTGATCTGGGCCCTCAGTGGGTGCCTGAAACCACGGAGAGTACCAAGCCTATGTATACTATGTTTTTTCCTAAACATATACACTTATGATGAAGTTTAATTTATAAATTAGGCACAGTAAGAAATAAACAATAACTATTAATAAAATGGAACAATGATAACAATATACTTTAATAAGAGTTATGTGGATATAGACTTCCCACACCACTCTGATAACCGATCTGATAACTGACTGATGGGCAGGGTGGGTATATGGAGACACTGGACAAAGGGATGAGTCATGTTCCAAGTGGGACAAAGTGTGATGTCACGCAACTTAAAACTTATGAATTATTTCTGGAATTTTCCATTGAATATTTTTGGACTGTGGTTGACAGTGGGTAACTGAAACCATGGAAGGCAAAACAGCGGATAAGGGGAGACTACTGTAAATGAATCTCGCTATTATTTATGTCAAATCAATATTGAAGGCCTATAGTATTAATTTAAACTACACAGTGTTAAAAGGTTTCCAGGTGAGCCAATATACTTTTTAATGCTTTCCCTTTTCTCCATTTTATAGAAAGGCGTAGTGGTTAAGAGCTCATTTTGGAGAATTAAACAGACCTAGTTTTGAATGCCAACTCTATCACATGCCAATTTTATATCCTCAGGCAAGTATAAATAGCCTTTCTATATTTCTAAAGCTTCTTCTATAAAATAAGTATAAAAACATCTTCTTAGAACTACTGAGCTAAGAAGGTGAAATGAGTAAGATGGTGCCTGACACACAGTAATTGCCCAGTAAATATTAGCTAGTATTGAAAAGAGAAATAAATGATAAATATCTGACATAAAACATATCTCAATAAATGGTTTAGGGTAATGTTACATAACCGTAAGATATTTTAAAAACATATACTCATCCACTCATTCTTTGTGCCTTCCCATAAATTTAATATTAAACATATTACCTACTGAATTAAATACAGAATATATCATCCACATTTTAGAAACTTTTATAAAACCCGACATTTGTTGCACTTTACTATATACAAAGTACTTTCATTGTCAAATGCCTTTGGAATGAGGAAGCATGTAAAAAAATATATAAAATAAATGCTGTATCCAATCAAGTAAATGGCAGGAGGAAGAAAACACTATGGGTTACTGATTGAGGAAATTTTCAAAGCAAAAATAGATGTCAAGAACTGTGACGGGTCTATGATTTTACCCTACTTGAAAGCCCATCAATTAGCCTGCCATGGCTTTACGTATGCTAGCAGAAGAAATGAGACTCCTGGGTCAGAGACAAAGGGTAGTTTATTACAGCAATAGCATTAGTCAGAGTGTCATCCTTTCACACACTGGTTCCTCAAGCTAAAATTCTCACAAGGTGATATGAAGAGGGCCAGGGGACACTGGCACACACAGAAGAAATATGAGCCTAGAGAACCCAAATCGCTTATACAGACAGTAAGCATGCCTACTCATTTCGATGAAGACATCACACCTATCTTCCAAGGCTTTTGCTATACACACGTCCTTGTAAGGATAGTCCAGAACAAGATGTATAAAAATGCAAGAAAACCGTGAAGAATTATCTCTGAACAACACAGTTTAACCAATGCCTTGTCAAATAGTAGCATTTGTATGATTACTAGCAAACTAAATCTAGGAATATCATTAAGAAATGCCCTAGGATAATGTCTTCATTGTTATTAACTAACAATAACATTAAATTCTATTAGATAAAAGAGTCATACCTCCTATGTCAAGGAAAAAAATATTTTTCAGCGTAGAACTCTGTTCAACCAAACAAAAAAAAATCAAGTGTGAAAGTTGAAAAAATATTTTTCAGACATGCAAAAACTTTACTTCCCATGGATGCTTTCACATAAAGCTATTTTGGGATGTGCTCCAGCAAAATCCAGTAAATTCAATAAAACAATGGACAGAACCCAAGGAAAGTCCCAGAATATAGCGAAAGACAGGACAGAGAAGCAGAAACCAGTCGAGATTAGAGCAGCAGGATGGAGAGGTGTGGGATATCAATCTCCATGAGAAACAGAAATTCATAACTGGTCTGATATTTTTGAACATTGAGAAATATTTCAACAAACCTGATACAGAATGTGTGTGTGTGAGTGGGGGGAATTAAAGATATGTACAGAGAAGACAAAACAAACTTTTAAAGAGTCAAACCAATTGCCTCCAGAAACAACAAAAGAAAATGTGTAGCGGAGGATATTTAATCAGAGTGCCAACTTAAGCAATTCTTACATTACCATATAATGTGACACTGGCTATCGATGGAACAATATGGAAAAAATGGGAACGTGGAAAGTGAAAGTGGCATAAAAGGAAAATCTCTCATCTTCCATAATGGCACGTCAACAGGTGTCACAAATCGTTTCTTTAGAAAAATGGAAATAAATAGCAGAGCAAACATCTGCGTAAACTGAAAACTATTGCCTCTAGGGAGAGGGACAGGGAACCAGGAGGAATTGAACAGAGAGACTGCTAGTGTTTATTTATTTTTATTCTGACTATATATTTGAAAATGTCCTTGTGAGGAACAGTCTGCACAGCTGTCCAGGACCTCTTCTTGTGAGTACCCCAGCTCACAGCTCAAGTGCAGGGTTACAGCTCAAGTGCTGGTTACAAGCGCTGCCCTGGCTTACAAGCCTCTTGCCTCAGAGAAGCCAGCAT